GTATTATCTATTCAATTTGATTATTAGCACAATATAAAGCTTTGAATAAACGCTCGTTTTTAAACTAGCTGATTTAAGAAATAACGGGTAAATTGTCCAGGTTTCATGATGAGCTGGACCCGTTACAGTGAGCGTCAAAACTGGACAATCCAGCCTAAAGTTGATCGTCTGGTCAGCCTAGCTATTGATTATAATATAATACTGATTTAATTGATTAACGTTTAATATTAATGATTGATCGATGAATACGTCAAATCCTAGCCCTAACCCCCATTGTCAACACCACTATCACATACAACAATCGGTTTGTGTGTAATAGCAGTGCGAACAGCGCTCTAAACATATCGTCTGTCCTAACGTCGGGTCACACGACAGCCGCCATCACTTGCAATGGACTGACTGCTCACACAAATGACGTGTCATTTATCGCACACCAATCCAATCGCGTGTCGATCACTAACATAACGGTTGGTCACTACCAAGCGGTCAACACCTTTACCTATGGTATTGTCTTGATCAATATGATTATTTGAATACATTCACGTATCATAATAGGTGACAGGACAATTCACGAAAGTGGCGTAGTTTATGGAGGTCCATGCGATTCGTCGCTATTTTGGGGAATGTCCATATTTGAGCATGGTCAACCCAATGCCTGCAACGGCACTAATGGCGTCATTACAAGCACTGCCATCTATAGAATATGGACTTTAGCTGGCAGTTGTAACTCGATGTGCCTGGTCAATTCGCCTGCTAATCTGGGCTACTCAGCATATACTCTGAGTCCTCCCGTAAACAATAATGGATTAGTCAATATGACCACAAAATAGACACAATATATGAACGTCAATAGAGAATATATTTCTAAAACCAGTTTGTACAAGTTTAGGCAAAATTGACCTTTTAGTTTAATATGGTAGTTAAATAAAATTTGCTTTTATTCATAAGCGCTTCATACAGTATTAATCAAGCAATGAGTTTAAAATCCTAGTATTCAAATTTAATAAATTATTTTTTAGTTAAAATGTTAATAAATAGATCATTGTGTACTGTATCTAATTGACTAATCATTACTAAAATGATACAGGTGTTATTTTTCAATGGTCTACATAAAATTATTTTAATTTCGCTTAAGCTATGTTTCTAGTAGGCATACAATGTATAAAATACCTAGTACATTAGTGTATGAATTGCGTTTCTATTACAAAGCTAAAGTATATACACTAATAATTAAAATGTTGATTGACAACACTGGACTCGGTTCTTAAAAACTGGACTGTCCACTTTGGCCACTATACTGAGCGCGCGCAGTGAATAATTTGTGCACTGGGTACTACTAAATGTATACCTTACG